ATTTACTTATATTTTTTGCGTTTGACCGAAATTCTTCATTATTTATTATCCCTTTCAATCATATTGTAGTGATGGAAAGAAAAACGACAAAGAAATTCTGCAAACAAAAAACAAAAAGTTTTTTGTATTAAAATTGTAAATTGTTTTAATGACGTAAAAAGGACAGCAATTATGTTAGAGATTGTCCTTTGCATTCTTTTTCAATAGATTTGAAAAAATAAATAAAAAATGTTCACTAATAATGCGTAAGAAAAGGACGTGTGTTGTGTGTCAATGATTGTAAGGTGGAACGAAAATTATTGGCATCGTTCAAGTATTTGCATGTATCACTGCACTACTCATTAAATGAATTATAATATTACTGTAAAAAATAACGATATTAATTAATTTAAAATTATTCATTTTGTTTTTAAATACTTACACAATTAATTATAGTTTATATTATCAATTATTTAAAAAATTATTTATTTCAACTTTTATTATAATTATGATTGAGTAACAACAACAAAAGGTTTGTGTGTCAGATCTTATTTACAAAATAATATAGTCTTGCAGCAGCTGAATTAGTATATGAAGTTTCTATATTGTCTGTAGAATTATTCAGGCAGTAAATTGAGATAAAAGTGATCAGTAATTGATAAGATAAGATGCGTTGTTTGACAATGACTGATGTCAATTACATTTTGCATGTATGAGCTAGCTTTTGTCTAGCTAAAATTTATTGTTTTATAAGCATCTAGTCTTTCTTTCTTGTTCTGATAACATTTTACTACTGATAACTATTTATGTATTTAAAATTGTGAATGAGAATATTTTGCAAGCAGTAATAAATATAAATTTTCGCATGATAATTTATACTAGCATTAGATATTTTAGCAAATGAATTGAAATATTAAACTATTCACTAAACTTAATTATTATGTTAATTTTTTTTGTTTACTTGCAAGTAAAGATAGCAAAAAGTAATGATTAATCATTGTATTTCAAGTATAAATCGTAGCATAAATTGACGTAACTAATCAATTATTAGTAATTTTTTTTTTTTTTTTGAAAAAAACACTTGAAGTAAAAAACGTCTTAAAAAAGAATCAAAGCAACCTGTTTTTGGCAGTAAAAAGTGAAACATACCACTGCTTCATAATTCATTTACAGAAAAAAGTATTTTATTGCCTTTTTTCGCTCTTTGTAAATTAATTCTTTTTGCTTGCAGATACTACGTAAAAGTATTGGATGTTCAGATGATGAAGTACGTGATATCAGAGAAGTTAGTGCATGTTTTTTGTATTACAGTTTACAATTTCTAGTTATTAATTATCTTCAAATTTCGAATGCACCCTTGCAAAAATTGCAATCAACAATTATTTACTAGTTAAGTATAAAATTATAAACTACAGTAGTATATTTTACATTTTATATTACTGTATAAAAAAATTTTAATATTTTATAGCACTGGTTTTTAATTACTCTTTATATTTACAATTATTCTCGTTTTTTTTTCATTCAGGTATTTTTTTTGACTTGTTATGAGCGAAAGCAATGAATATTCATTGATTGTTTTTGAACAGTTTATCAATCAAATTTCCTCCAAATACATTTTAGTATTTTGCTTTTTTAATATTCATCAGTCTTAAATTAATTATGGAAAAAAGACGATTATGCATATCTCGATACTGATCCATGAATTAATTACTTTTACTGATCTGAAATTACTGAAAGTAATTTTTGTGACTTTCCTCACAAACAAAGAATCCTTGAATCTAATAGTGATCGCCTTATACTACGTCATCAGTCAATACAGAATAATTTTAATATTAATCCTCACCGTCATACTTTCTAAAATTAATTTTGGTTAGCTTATCGTACACAAAGATTGCATATTTAAATGAAGAGCATATTGCCACAGAAAGCTCATTAAGTTAATGTTCTTGTAATATACTCTCGTTGGTTGTAATTGCCTTGGGGCATTTGTTTTAAGAAAATTAAGAATAAACATAAAAGTGACAGTCGTTTGTTCATTTTGGTGAGATAAAAAAATGGTAATGTAAGTGGAACCTGTAGTGGTAATATACGTAACTAGACATAAATTTTGTCATCAGTTGCAGTTACAAAAACTTCTCTGAAAAGAGGTTAAATTAAAAGTTAAGAAAATATTTTTTACAAATTTAATATATAGTCAAAAAATTAAAACAACCTTTGTTTAAAGATTTAAATTATTTCACTTATAATCCGCAGTTTTTTTTCGGTTTCGTCAACTTTAAAATAAATTTCAAAAGGATTAATCACTTCTAAATAGTATTTTTGCATCCTAAGAGGTCAATATGTATTTTTATTCATTCATTTATTAATAGCAGCAATGATATTTTTACTGCTTACTTATTGCATTACAGCACATTTATATTTCGAAGGATTAAATGCTACACATTTGTAATTTATTGCGTGAGTGTGATCAGTAATGAAATACTAAACTTACAGTAATGGTTTGCAGGTATCGGAATTATTCTACTGTACAGAACGTTGCATACAAGCTGGCATTGGTTATTTACCATTAATGTTAATTATGGCATCCATAATATCAACATTTTTCTTACTTTGCTTTTCTTGATATCTTGAAAGCATGATGGCTGCGTTACGTTAATTTTCAAATGGTTACAAATGAATTTGTGATTTTTGTAATGAATATGAAGAATGAAATAAACAGTTTAGTTATACGTTTGATCGCATGCAAAAACATCGGAAAAAAAGCAGCAGCAATATAAATAACCAATATATAAAGTTCTGAACGAAATTAGAATTAATATAAAATCACAAAAAAGAAAAAAATTATCTCAATTAATAGCAAAAATATCTATTTTATGCCATTCCAAATAATTATATTATCCGATCAGTATTTATCAATAAAGTTCTTGATTAATTAAGCAAAACTTTCTTGCATAAAAAATTCAGAGCTGCATTTTGTGAAGAAAAAGTATCCATGTCAGTAGAGTTGCCTTTCTTGCATCGTACAACTGAAGAAACGAGTGCAATCACAAGTTCAATCCTTGATAAAGTCGATATGCAAATTTATATTATAAGATTCTTTAAAATAATTTGTAAAAAGCTCAAAAATAATACCACTCTATCCGATCACGTTGTTATAACTGCAATTTTTTGTACAAGTACAGAAGTTTTTTTTTTAGTTCAGGTAACTTTTACTTAAATGTTGTATGCAAATTGAGGTCGTTATCCGTAGAATCTTCCGTTGTGACTTACGAGTGTAATTACGTATTTTGTAGTAATCATCGTGTTGTCATCATTTTAAGTCGATTAGTGATTCAGTCTACAAATTTACCTATTACACTCGTACTCAGCAAATTATCAATTAAACATTGCTTAGTTTGTCAATAATAGTATGCAATATTACGCATACTTGTAAAGTTATTCTTCTCGGTAATTTACAGTCTATAAACGTAGTAATCATTAATTAAGCGTACTAATCATTCCATGATTTATCTCATTTTACTTCAATCGTTTAATTTTTTACAATTGTCTTTATATTTTTACTCTCCTCGCAACTTTTTTCAATGCCATTAAGTGAAGTTGAAAAGAAACTGAAATTGTTTGAATTTTTGAGTTGAAAAAATTTTAATGAATTTTGTAATTTAAGTAATACAAAAATGTAAATAATACTTAATATGTATTGGTATGTATAAGAAGGAAAGTAATTATTCTTTTATTTATTACATTTAAATGCTTTAAATGATTGAAAATTTTTATGTAGTAAAGTGTTAAAAGTCGTTAATAAAATTTATTTATGTTTATCAAACATTGCAATTTTAGCTTGTTTTTGTCATGAAAGCTTAGCAAATAATGCAAGAAAAGATATAAATTTACAAAGTAATAAATCTTACTATTATCACTATTATTATTACCATTATTATTACTGTTATTATTACTATTATTACTACTATTATTATTTTCGTTTCAATTGTTGTAATTGCTTGTTATGATTGTTGCGTTGAGTACAAGAAGAGATGTCAGTAAGACAAGAAAATAAAACCTAAAAAGAGCAATAATTCATGTTAAATGAATTTTTCTATTATTCAATTGATGCATACATAATTAGCAGAAGGTTCCTGTCCATTCAAGCCTAAGCTTTTTCTTCTTAGCTAATAAAGCTAAAATTGAATGGCATAAAAAGATTTTGGCCTAAAAATGATTCGGAAAAGTAAAGAAAACGCCAAAAATTGCTGTAAATTTTTGCAGTTTATTATAATTAGTAGTAAATGTGCAGAGTAATAATAAATTTTGTTTTTGCAGTAAAATAATTTTATGGCTTTGATTTGATTTAGTGAAACGATAATAATGATAATAGTAAAAGGTATACAAAGTAATTAGTGTTTATCGTTTATCTTTGATTGATATAAGAGCGTAAAGTTTTTGCTGTAATGTAATGCAAAGCTGTTGTCCCAACTAGAAACTTGTCAAGTTAATTTTTTACTGGTCTTGGCAACAAAAACCGATGTATTAGCAGTGTTACTTGCAATAAGGCAGTATAATTAGATATGAGTAAATGATCAAGTTGTTTGATTTTCTTAACGTCTGGTACCATCTTCGAAGAACACACCACCATCGATTGCACAGTATTTTGGGCATACTCCCCGCTCGCCAGGTTTGCCAGGAGCTCCCTGTTCTCCACGTGCACCAGGTTGTCCGTTTGTTCCTGGTTGTCCATCTGCACCAGGCTCTCCTGGTGGTCCAGGAGGTCCAGCTGCACCATCTTGGCCTGGTTGTCCAGGTCGTCCTGTTGGTCCTTGTGGTCCTTGATCTCCTGTAATATTTTTTTACAATAGTTATTTTAACAAAGATTTGCTAAAAATTTTTAATGTTAGCAGTAAAATGAGTTGATTTGATAACCTGGTTCTCCTGGTGGTCCACGTTGAAGTGGCTCATCCGGTGCATTTTCTCCTGGTGCTCCATTTGGTCCTGCGGGTCCTTGTTCTCCTGGTGATCCTTGTGGTCCTTGAGCTCCAGGTTCTCCCGGAGGTCCGTCAGGTCCTGGTTGTCCTGGAGCACCATCTGGTCCTGGATCTCCTTGTGGTCCTGGTGGTCCTTGGGGTCCAGGTGGTCCTTGTGGGCATGGTTTGCATGGTGGTGGTGTTACAGGCTCACATGGTTGTGGTGGTGGTCTACCAGGATTTCCTGGAAGACCAGGTGCTCCTGGTTTACCTGGTTTTCCTGGCCTACCAGGTGGACCTTTAGGACCTGCTGGACCAGTAATACAACAACCTTCACATTGGCTGACCTGACGGGCTGTTCGATTATGTCCAACAACAGGGTATTGACCTAATCGGTCCACATCAGTCCAAGTTTGCTTTGCCGACTGCTGAAAATATTTTTTTTCATAAATATGCGATAAAGTTTCCAATTTTTTTCTCATTTTACTTACACTCTAAGTGTATTTCACAGGCGAAATACACCAGTTTCTCAGCAAACCCATTTCTTTCTTTTCAAGTTTTCAATATTTTTAGCATGCGCATAAACTGGTACTTTTGGTGTAATTATCTGTCTTATCTGAAAATTATTCCCAATGCATTAACCGAATAATTGTTCTGCTGAAATTATTGAAATGAAGCAAAAATGAATTTAATTACAAAAGCAAAACTTGACTTAATTTATTCAAAGCATTTCGAATGCGTTAACAATAATATTATTTACGAATTATTAATAAAATTGCAAAATATTTCCATAATTGTTTGATATTTTTGAATGAAATACTCAAATATTTTACTTATTAAAATTAAAAATTAATAATTTCGATACAAAATTTTTGCAGCGCTTACTTCAATCTGATAAACACACAGAAAAACATTTATTGTTGAGTTATTTCATTCAAAAAAACCACAAATACTTTTTCAAATATTAATGAAAAAAAGAAAATGGATAAATTTAAAGTTTTAGAAAAATATCCACCGATAGTTTTATTACATATTTTCATGAAAAATACTTGAAAATTGAGATACAATGTGAATTGCCTGAGGCTAAACGGTTGTTTCTTTACAAAATCTGGAAATTTGATTTGAAAAATGACAGAAATGTAACTGATAACAACCGATTCATCACATTGCCTTTAAGTACTTATCAAGTTCTCCACTTTTATTTTTGACTAAAACCGTAAAATCTCAAAAATATTTTTAAAATTTAAAATCTTTCAAAATAATAATTATTATTATTATTATAACTATTTGCTTCAGTTATACTTTAATAATCACTATCATTTTATTGCATTTACTGCCAAAAGCTACTGCATCATAATTATATTCATCAAATATTACAAAAGTTGATATAATTGATTAAAATTTATTTTTAAATTTTAATTTTAATAACTTCAATTACTGCACATAAAGTATTTTTATAGAAAAAAAGTGTTCATTTTAAAGTATTATCAAATTAAAAAAGGAACAAAATCGAGAACATACTTTTCCAAATAAAGTTAATGCTTTATTTAAGCAACAAGTAATAATAATGTGCGTTTTTCTAATTGCATGCTATCAAATTATTGTGATTTACTTAAAATACAAACCGATTTTGAAGAAAAAAACGAAATCGAGTAATTAATAATTACGTGTATGTTTACTTTTATACAAAATTATTCGTCAGAATACAATAATTATTTAATGAAAAAGAATAGTGCTGAGTGAGTAACTGTAAGTATGAATGAGTGAACGATAAACTCTTTTTAAGCTAAGAAAAAAATTAGAAAGTTTTCAGTTTTAGTGCCATATATATTGTGTAAGACAAGTCAGTCTAATATAGCAATCATAAATTTTACGCCAAGTTTTGAGCTTTGAAAGAATAACTGCATTTGATATATTGTGCAATGCAAAGGATAAATTTAATAAAAAGCAAATTTAATAAACATTGTAATTAATTAATACAAAATGCAAAAATAAAGCAAAGAATTGATAAGTAATTTTGATTAAAGAAATTATTCAAAAACAAACCTTGCAAAAAGCAATTTCGGTATGCATTTGTCGTCTTACATGATGAATGTAATTGTAAATCATAGGCAAAGTAATGCATAATGATAACACAGCAACAATGCTAAATGTAACAGCGGAGTAAGCTACAAACTTGTAAGCTTTAATTCGACTTTGTACTTCCATCTTTGCTAAAGAAGCAAATAATATATTTGCCCTTTGACCTTTAAAATAATTCTATTAAATCTTAAAAATGAATGAAGAAAAAATAAATTTGATTCAATAAAGTAAAATATGAAGTAAATCAAAAAAAATTTTATTTTTTTCCTCTTGCTTTTAAAATTTTCCGTTATATATTTTATACAAATAATCAAGAATAAAAAGCAATGGGCAAATGAAATGATTGCCTTCAACACTGATTGCACCTTTTAAGTATTATCACTTTAACCCATCCCACCAAGTCTTACCTTACATTACCTTACACTTGTCACACCTGTTTTGTCACCTAGACCTTGAAAATAACAATTTTCTATAATTTTTTCCATCTATCTATCCACCTACCCACCTACCTACTCACCTACCTACCTACCTATCTATCTATCTATCTATCTATCCAGCTATCTATCTATCTATCTATCTATCTATCTATCTATCTATTTATTTATTTATTTTGTTTTCTTTTTTTTATTAATACTCTGATAAAAGTATTTATTAGTGAGTGGTAGTACAGTATAGTTGAAAAGAAGGAAAGATGAGACAGATATGATTTGATTTCCTAAAAAGGTATGATCAGTCAGTCTTGTTCTTATTCTTTCTGATCGGTGAAACTTTTTCTTACCTCAGAGTTATTTCCAGTTTTATTGCATTTTAATACCAAAAAATAAAATTAAAAAAGTCTTTTTTTCTTTGGAAGAAAATGTTATGATCGGCCAAGCGTTACAGAACAAAAAAGACATTCATCCATCATTGACTTCTAAATCTTCACCTATTTTTACTTTTCTTTTACATTTAATACTGTGGTGTTAATTACTTGATTAATTCTTCTTTTTTTTTTAATAATTCTTATATATATATACATATATATA